TATCACATCAAGATAGAATAACTCACTTTATTTGCAAACAATGTGTCTGTGTGCAACCAAACTTGCTCTTGGAGCACCTACATGTCCATTCACTCTTCACTGTTTACATGCAACCCATACAGTTAACCTACAGTGATCTACTCAGTGCTTGTTACTATCCCTTATGACTCAGACAAATGTCACACCGTTTTTGTACCGCTATATTACCACGACCTCGATATCAAAACCAAACAAGTCCTTTAAGTAGCGGTATCAAAACATACATAACTGCACTGATGCTGATGCTGATGACCTTTGATGGATGGCGCTTACCCACAAAGGGGGATGGGCCAAGAACCGGGCGGCAGGATACTTAAATGAAACTAAACTGAAAATGAAGCCAATCTGAAAAAGTAGCTTAAAATAATACTACCAAAAAACAAAAATGTGTGCTGAGCAAGCGGTCAAACCATCTTTTGTTTTTGAAAGACATAACTACGAATCATAAACTAAAGATCTGAAAAGGTAGTGGTTCACTAGCATGGTAATCGTTTAGTTGCGTTGATGTAATCAAACACAGCGGAGCATACATCCCTGTGGCAGTAACCAAATGAAGTTCCGCCAAGTGATAAAATTACTGGTAAATTTACTTGTATTCCGAGCTTTTGTAATGGGGTTACTAAAAATCTTTTTTCTCTGATAAGAATAACGATGACAGAATAAAAAGAAATGTTCAATTGTTTCAATTTCGTTGCACCAAATGCATAGCGGTGACGCCTTGAGCTGAGCTTTATTAAGGTAATAATTTAGTTGTGGAACTGCACAGCGCAATCTGGTATAAGTGACCTCTAACTGGCGAGATACACACCACTGTTTATTCCAGCAATAGCTCAAATGCTCTAAATCTTTAAATTTATCCAAATTACCTTTTCCCCATTGCAGGCAAGCATTTCGGAATCTTAGCGCGGTTACGTAAGCCGTATCTGGCAAAACTGGGATGGTGGGCCCACCCAGGGATACTGCTGCTAAAGAGTCCGCCATTTCGTTCAAATATAATCCGCGGTGGCCTGGTACCCATAGCAAATGCAGTTTTTTTACGTTTTTCGGTACTAAATGCCGAAACGTATTCATCAGCTCTGAATTTACTGCCGTAGAAAGTGCATTACAAACTGATAACGAATCTGTAATGATAACTGCTAATGATTCGCTTGAGGGTAATTTGCGTAGGGCAAGAACAATGGCCAATAATTCTGCCATGAATACCGGGGTATAATCTGGGAGTCGAATCGAAAAAGACCAGTCCAAAGAAGGAGAGAAGATGCCAACCCCAGCTTTTTCTTTTGACACAGATGCATCAGTCGCTATGATATTGCTTATCTCTAGGTGGGCTAGATAATCTGCTAACTGGTCATTTAAATACCTATATGCCAATTGTTTCGCGTTATCAGGAAATATATCATCGAATTGTATGCTAAGCATTGACTTTAGGTTGTGTATTGGACCAATATGTCTAATTTTTACATTCAGTTGCTTTAGTAGCGCTTGTGCAAATACTATTTGCGGGGTGTGTAGTTGCGACCAATGGGTTTCGAAAAATAAAGTCGGTTCTTGAATGAAAACGTAAAATGAGAATCTTTGGTGTGAACTGTATATCTTTAAGAATGCTTGCACAGTAAGAATTTTAAACCTATTTAGCAGAGAAGGTAGGCGAGCTTCCATATGCAACACGTTATTTGCAACAAACTTTGGTAGACCCAGACACAAACGCAACGCTTCTCTTTCCAGCAGTATCAGGGGTCTCATTTTATAGGCTGCGCTGCCAGAAAATAGTACACATCCGAATTCCATGATGGGCCGCACATAAAGTTTATATATCATTATTAGCACATGTCTTCTTAAACCCGCTTTACGGTTTGCAAGCTTCCGTAGCCACCCATGGCCCGTGTTGCCTTGGAATACACATCATCAATGTGACTTCTCCAATTTAATGTGTCATTATATATGATGCCCAAATATTTAAGGGAATTCGCCTGCGGAATGAGCTCATTACTGTACATTAACGAGATGTTGATAGGCTGCAGAAAAGAGAATGCAAGGAGCACACTTTCTTTACGTTCAGGGTCATATGAATATTTTTAAGCCATCTTTCTATCATATTGAGATAATTCTGTAGAGTCTCGTATAATGATTGAAGGTCGGTATTACTTGCGAAGAAAGCAATATCGTCCGCGTACACATATAACTGAATATCCTTAGTTGATGGAATAGAGCTTAAGAAAATGTTAAATAAAACTGGCGACAGGACAGCCCCCTGTGGTACGCCACGTGTCTGCTTATATCTATTTGATGAGTACCCATCTTTAAAGCAGTAATATTCTCTCCCTCTTAAAAACTCCGACACCCACGCAGTGATGTAGTTGGGAAAGTTGTGATATGCCATCTGTTTTAATAAAATTGAATGCTCAACCCTATCGTACGCTTTAGCCAAATCTAAGGTAACTAAAGCACAGTATTGGCGCCGACGCCGAGCCAGTTGTATTCGGCTCTCTAAATCAACATGCGCACACCATATTGAGCAGCCGGATCTAAAACCAATTTGACTGGGGTTTAATATTGCGTTATTATTAATATATTTCATTACCCGGGCATTCAAAACTCTTTCAATTAGCTTAACCAGATTTGACGTGATTGATATCGGCCTTACATTGTCCAAGACGAATCCTTTTTCCTGCTTTTTAAGAAGTGGAATCACTTTAGACAGCTTCCATTCCGCAGGTATCCAAGCTTTTGTCAAAGAAAAATTCACCAGATTAAGTACTTCAGTTGGACAAATCTCGAATATTACTTTTATCATTGAATTTGTTACCCCGTCTGGTCCAGGTGCCGAAGGAGATAAGTGCCTTATTATCTCTGCCAGCTCATCTAAAGTAACCTCCTCGAAATCCTCGCCTGCCATTGGGTTCACAATGTGCAGTGGTAGAGTTGACATAAATCTATCTTGGAGCCCTTTCGCAATATTTTCTACTAAATCAGAGAGCTCACGGGGGGAGAGAACAGAAGAGTCAATATTTTCAGCGGGTGGTAACATCTTTTGAGATCTTAAAAATCTGAAGAGCGCTTTTTTGTTTTTAGCCCTAGAAAGATACTCATGTCGTTTCATATTGTAACCATCTTTTGCTGTACTTACTGTGCGTTTGAAGTCTGCTGCTGCGAATTTATAATCACACCAATTTTTTGGACATTGGTTGACCAGCAGTTGTTTCCATGCAGCTTTCCGTTTTCTATAGCTCCTCGTGCACTCTTCAGTCCACCATGGACTAAAAGAACCTCTTGTGGCCGAGTCTAATTTAAACGTTGCGTCTTTTACTGATCTTTTTAACACTGCACACAGACTCATAGCCCTAATGTCACCTTGTATGTCCTTGCGGTGATCAAATGTAGCCCTCAAGTCTTTTTCTAATTTTCTATAGTTGAGGAATGAGTGGGCCTTTTCGGCGACATGTATTCTTGGAAAGTTCAGTACAAAACTAATAGGCAAGTGGTCACTGTTAGTAGCACAGTCTAAAGTTTGCCACGAACATATATTTAGAGAGGAGCTTGAAAATGTCAAGTCAATTACAGATTTAGAGAGACCTCGGACAAAAGTAGCAGATTGCTAATTTAAACAAGATAAATTCTTGTCAATAGCCCATTCCCACAATCGTTTTCCGCTTAAATCTGTTTTAAAACCCCAGGCCACCAGATGTGAATTGAAGTCTCCAGTGATTAATATATCCTTTCTGCAGGCAGAGAACATATCGTCTAGACTACGCGTGTCTTGCACCCCGGCTGGGTAATACGCATTTACAAACGACAAGGGAGAAGCGTCTGGTAATATTATGTCTACTATCAAAATTTCACAATTTGGAGTCACACAACGATAAGAGATCGTAGCTTTGTGACTAAACTTAGTTGCTATCAAGACAGCAAGCCCACCACCTCTGCTAGGTCGCTCCAATCGAAATAGCCGATAATTTTTTAGGTGAAACTTCTGGCTGGTTGAAAGCCAGGTTTCTTGCAGTGATATAATATCCGGGGAAAGTTGTGAAGAAAGGTATGATAGGTCTGTGGCTGCGGAAAATATAGATCTGCAATTCCACTGTAATATGGTTATTATGGTTAACTGCACTCCGAACAAGTATGGCACCTCAACTTTTTTAGAAGCAACAATACTGAAACTGTTGAAATTCCTGTAACTCCTTTTATGCTAATATTTACCATAATTGGTGCCCTCCGTAGTTCATTTTGACCTCGTAGCTTTTAATATGAGATATTTTTAGGAATTCAGTAAGGGCATTTTTATTGAAAGGCAACTGACATGCGTTTTTTTTATTAAAATAATGTCCTGTGAAAAAGATTGTGGGCTAAAGGCAAAGACCCACTACTGAATTTTACGCCTCTCATCAAGAAGTGCTTAAATGGAGTATAATCTCTCATGCACTTAAGCATGTGGGTAGGCGCAAGCATGAAGATAAGCCGACATAACACTGATAATAATAAAGTTGAGTAGATAGGACCATAAGTCGACAGAAAAGTGGAGCTCGTGTGCGCTCACTCAAGAAATAAATTTTTTGCTTATGGCTGACTTGAACTCATCCCCCAAATATTTCTAAACAGGACTCTCCCTACCAGCAAAATTTCCTTGGGCCAAGCATGGTAAATTATCAGTGGCCAACTTGTCCATGCTTCGCAAGTTATTGGAGGCCACGGGAAATTTGTGCTTGGGAAGTGTGAGAAACCTACCATGGCCAAGCAAAGGAAGGCAGCGTTTCGAAAATAATTGGAAACACCCCTCTCCATGGTTGGCACTGCGTTGGAATACCATGCAATAGCCAAGCATGCTCTTGGCATGGGAGCCAACCATTTTGGCCAATACAATTTCTGGCTCATCATTTCCTGGTATGGCTACAATTTGATGCCTCGGCTAGTTTTTCTATACTTTTCATGCCCCCTTCCTCCCCCACAAGAATTAACAAAACCAATTATATGTTTAGTGCTTCAGGTTTATTTTACACGTAATATATAGAAGGCAATATGCCATTTTTCCATTTCGCAAACGCTTGTGATTCTGAAGTGTTGCTGGGGCTTCTCTTAAAGTCGTCTATCGCAGCGGCATGCCTTCTCGCATAGGTGCACCTTCTTAATCTGAAGCAAGCACGAGCCATCCTTTTGTGACATCCGAAACAGCTGCGTCAGTTTTATGAACAGAGTATGCCTCATCTGGAAAATGGGGAAGAGACCATGAGTTCCGTTTCTTTATTAAGCCATCTCTTAAGGAACTGCTTTCACTAATTTTCAATAAAACACACGCAGTAGGAACATTTTTCGGGAAACTAATAGGTTATGCATGATCGTGAAGATGACAGCACCTGCACAGACAAGAAGAAAATACTTCTTTGACTGCATGAGGCAATTTTAAATGAAGATAATAAAAAACTCTTTATCCTCGCACATTCTAGAACATATACTCTGTGAATTAGAAAAAAAGTAATTTTTTCACTTATAGCATTCTGGAAGCAGCATTGGAGCAGAAGCACTGTTTAGTGTCCCTGTTTCTTTCTTGTATGTACGTACTTCTATATTTATAAACATTACTGAGGTAGTCAATGCCTTTCATTTACGCAGGTTATTTTTGTCGTATAGCTTCTGTTGTTAACTGCTTTATTTTATTTCTATGCTCATCAATGAGCAGTCCTGCCGCGTAGTCATGCAGCTGACTCTTTAAGCGATGAAATCGGTCATGTTCTCTGGCTCCCAGCTCCCACAAATCGGCAAGCTGATAGAGCAGGAAATAGGATTATTCAACATTTAGGTAGTGAATAGCGTTACGAGGCAGTGGGCATTGCCCCCTGCCTCGTACGTTGCTTCTCGAGCCCGCGTCAGCTCGCCAAATCGCGCACACTAGGCTTACTACTTCTCAGGCCTCACAAAAAGTCCACTACAATGACTGGCACCATGACGTTGACTACCCTGCTGACTCTGTCGTCCTACTCTGGACACCGCATCGACGTGAAGGCTTGTGCGAGAAGCTCCTCCCACGATACGCAGGGCCCTACTAAGTTCTCCGCAAGGTCACCGACGTCGACTACCTCATCACTCCCGTTCAACCACACTCGTCTTCTGCCACATCACCTACTGATGTTGTTCATGTGTCACGACTGAAACAGTACTATACTGCAAGCCCTGATTGACTTAGAGGCGCCTCGACGGCGCTTTCTTTGCAGAGGGTGATGTTACGAGGCAGTGGGCATGGCCCCCATCGTCGTAGACAAATCGCAAAGGAAGAAGCGGACTGAGCGCGTGAAAGGCTGGCAGCCCTGGTGGTTCTCACCTACTTGTAAATATTGGTAATACACTCATTTCTTTCTTCCGTGTGTTTGTTATCTCCGTAACAATATGGTGGCAGTGAAACTGTTTCAATGCTCAATCTTGCTCCAGATGGCAGAAGTTGGCTTTTTTTCCAGGAGAGCAGCATATATAAACTGAAAAAAAAATTGTATTAGTAGGTCAACTGTTCAAACAAACATCAGTGATTCTGTATGTGCAATACTCAGGCCCTAGGGAAACACTTTGTGAAGAACAGTAACCAAAATATCACAGCATTGACCTAGCAAAAATTCATAAGAATGCTGCGAATAAAAGGCAAAGCAAAATCAATTTATTTGTTTTCTGTTGGTGCTCACCAAGCAGAAGCGGCAGCACATTTGCGGGCTTTTAAATGAAAAATCGTTCTCAGCAGCCAAGCAGTACTTCTTTGTAACCACATTAGTACTATATGATGGAGCTTTTTGTGCACACCATATTCAGCACTACTGACATTCTTCAGGAGCAAATAGATGACCTGTAAAAAAGCAATACATAAATTAGAAAGGTGATAGAAGTAACACATGTTTAGAAGCTTTGAAAAGTCTACTTTTTGCACTTTTTGTGGTGCCAACAGAAGGATAATCTTACCAAAACAAAACAGCGTCAATTCATCAAAACATTCAATGGATATACTACTACTAAGTACTTGGACTGCAAAAGGGTGCCTTCGTTGTAGAAAATCGTGAATAGAATTCGCAAAACCCAGTAAGTATTTAGGCCCGATTATTTCTGTAAACAGTATCTTTGGTGTCAATTTCCTGATGATTCAGTTGTACAACTTGATTAATATGTGTTTTTGTGTAATTTAAAAATAGTCTGACGAGCGCCACTGCACAAAAAGAGAACAGATATATGAAACTAATAATACATTTAGCTGATGATAGATCATCATCATCATCAACCTGACTACATCCACTGCAGGACAAAGGCCTCTCCCATGTTCTCCCTGTTAGCTGTGCCCTGTGCTTTCTGCTGCCAATTTATACCTGCAAACTTCTTAATATCATCTGCCCACCTAGCCTTCTGTCTCCCCATAACCCACTTGCCTTCTCTGGGAATCCAGTTAGTTACCCTTAATGACCAGCGGTTATGCTGTTTACCGTGCTACATGCCCGGCCCATGTCCATTTCTTCTTTTTTGTTTCAACTATGATATCCTTAACCCCTCTTTGATCCCTAAGCCACGCTTCACTCTTTTTGTGTTTTAAGGTTACACCGACCATTTTTCTTTTCATTGCTCACTGCGTCGTTCTCAGTTTAAACTGAACCCTCTTTGTAAGTCTCCAGATTTTTGCTCTGTAGCTAAGAACCGGCAAGATGCAGCTGTTATATACCTTCCCTTCGAGGGATAGTGGCTATCTACCTGTCATAAATTGAGATACTTTCCAACTGTGCTTCACCTCATTCTGAATTTTCTAGTTACTCCAGTCTCGTAGTTCGGCTCCGCGTTTATTGCCTGTCCTAGGTAGACATAGTCTTTTACAACTTCGCCCCGCCGCGGTGGTCTAGTGGCTATGGTACTCGGCTGCTGACCCGCAGGTCGCGGGTTCGATTCCCGGCTGCGGCGGCTTCATTTCCGATGGAGGCGGAAATGATGTAGGCCCGTGTTCTCAGATTTGGGCGCACGTTAAAGAACCCCAGGTGGTCAAAATTTCCGGAGCCCTCCTCACGGCGTCTCTCATAATCATATGGTGGCTTTGGGACGTTAAACCCCCAAATCAATCAATCAATCTTTTACAACTTCAAGTGCACTATTACATATCTCGAAACGATGTTCTCTTTTGAGGTTGTTGTACATTACTTTCGTTTTCTGCAGAATAATTTTAAGACCAACTTTTCTGCTCTCCTTGTCCGTAATTATGAGTTTCCATTCGCCCCCTGAGTTCATCAGCAATGCAATGTCATTGGCGGCGAAGCGCAGGTTATTAAGGTACTCTCCATTGTCTTTTATGCCTAACAGTTCTCATTGAAGACTTCTGAAGACCTCCTGTAAACACGTGGTTAATAGCATTGGAGAGATTGTGTACCCTGCCTTACACCCTTCTTGATTGGTGTTCTGTGGCTTTCTTTATGAAGCACTATGGTAGCAGTTGATCTCCTGTATATTTCTTTCAAGACCTTTATATATGCTTCATCGACGACCTGATTCCGTAGTATCTGCATGACTGCTGATATTTCTACTGAATCAAGCGCCTTCTCGTAATCAATGAAAACTATGTAAAGTGGTTGGCTGTATTTTGAACATTTCTCTATTACCTGATTGGTAGTATGAAAGTAGTCGATTGTTGACTACACTGTTCGAAATTGTGTTTGTTCCTTTGGTTGATTGAATTCTAATGTTTGCTTAACTCTCTTACCAGTTACCTTTGTAAAAGCTTGTATACTACGGAGAGCATGCTGATGGGCCTATGATTCTTCAAATCCTTGCCATCTCTTTCGTTATATCTTAAGATGATGTTAGCATTCTTCCAAGATTCTTGTACTCTTCGCGTCAGGAGACTCCTGATAAGCAGGGTGGTGAGTTGTTCAAACACAATCTATCCTCCATCTTTTAGCAGATCTGATGCTACCTGATCCTCACCAGCAGCTTTGCCTTTTTGCATGCTCTCTAAGGCTTTTCCGACTTCTATCATGACTGTTGGGGTGTCATCTTGGTTACTGCTAGTTCTTATATTATTAGGGTCGGGGTTGTCCCGGTTACTGTACAGATCTCTGTAAAAACACTTTGCTATTTTAACTATCCTATCTATATTGGTAGGTGTTTTGTCTTCTTTTTTCCTTAGTGCATACATCCAATTTTAGCGTATCCCAAGTTTCCTCTTCACTGCTTTGACGCTTCCTCCAATTTTAGAGCCAATTCTCTCCATGGTATACCTTGTTACATCGAATTTTTTATGCTTATTAATCAACTTCAAAAGCTCTGCCAGCTCTATTTTGTCTGTTGTACTTGAGACTTTCATGCTTTGATGCTTCTTAAAGAGATTCTTCGTTTTTTGGGAAAGCTTGCCTGTGTCCTGTCTAACTACCGTGCCCCCAACTTCCACTGCAGACTCCGTAATGATACTCGTCCGATTATCATTCACCGTATCTACGCGAAGGTTGGTTTCCTCAATAAGAGCCGTATACCTGCTCTGAAGCGACTGTGATTTTCTGTACTTTCCCTCTCAGTGCTAGCTCATTGATCGGCTTCTTGCGTATCAGTTTCTGTAGTTCCTTCATCTAGTCTAGGCGAATACAAGACCGTACCATTCTATGGTCACTGCATCGTACCTTGCCAACCACTTCCACATCCTGCGCGATGCCTGGGGGTGCACTCATTATAACATCTATTTCGTTCTTATTTTTGCCATTAGGGCTCCTCCATGTATACTTATGGTTTGTTTGTTTTTGGTAGAAGGTATTCAAAATCCGTAAACTATTGCATTCGGCAAAGTTTACTTGCAGCTCTCCTCTGGCATTTCAAGTATCAATGCCATAATCTCCTACTGCCTGGTTTCCAGCCTGCTTCTTCTCTACTTTGCGTTAAAGCCTTCCATCAGTATATTATACTGTGTTTTTACCACTCATTGCCGATTCCACATCTTCATAGAAGCTTTCAACTGAAGCGTCATCATGCCGGGATGTAGAGGCGTAAGCCTGTACCACCCTGATCGAGAATTATTTCGATACCTACCATCATTTCATTATTTCTCTAGTATTCCTCTATGTTGCCAGCTAGGTTTCTCTGAATTAGGAACCCCACTCCAAGTTCTCTTCTGTCCGCCAAGCCCCGATATCAAAGAGCATGCTCATTCTGTAGCATTGTATAGGCCTCAGCTGTCCTCCTAATCTCACTGCGCCCTATTATATCCCATTTAACACCATCTAGCTCCTCGAATAGTACAGCTAGACTTGCCTCACCAGGTAAACTTCCAGCGTCAGATGTTGCCAAGTTCAGCTACCAATGGTGGCCTGTCCGGATCCAGAGATTCTTAGCACCCTCTGCTACGTTGCAGTTATGACCACCGCCTTGGTCAGTTGCTTCGCAGCTGCTGGGAACTGAGGGCCGTGAGGCAATTGACGTAAACATGTGGGAGGTAGTGGCCAGATACTGCAAAGATAGATCATTTACGACAGATCACACAATAAAAGATCTGAATAAATGCATTACATGCAGAATAGCATTGCTCGCCAACGTTGCGTACTTATTGATTAACCAGAACTTTCAAACGGTGCCAACATCTGAAATAACAACTATCTCATCATCGATAAATGAAATCCCGAAGTCGCTGAAGCTAAAATTTTACCAAAACATGTTTTAAAAATGTAGAATTCCACTAAAGTAGACGCAACAATACCGAGTAACCTTATTGCGTCAAAGCATTACGTAAAAGGAGAAATAATACAGGCGCAGCTGAATTTAGATGGTAGATGACCCATACCTTGTTCGCATTCGGCACCAGCGTTCTTATCTATTTTACCTTTTAAGTATGACCATACGCACAAGATTATAATTTCGGATTAACTAATAAAGCATTGGTGTCAACCCTAAATTTCATGGCGCATTAGCGAAATGCACTTTTCGTCAGCGGCTGGCAGTCCCGCCAGAAGCGAACAATAAATGGCCGGGCACCACTCGTCCACATACACAAGCAGCGGCTGGGCGCCTGTCCTTAGGAACCGGGTCATTTCAGTTAATTTCACGTTTTTGCCCAAAATCAGTGTATTGTTATTATAAAAAAACGCCAAATTCATTCGGTGCTCAAATACTGTACCGAAGAACGTTTCGAATATGTCTGGTCTTTTCTTGTAACAAGAGGCTGTAACTACGCCATGTGTAATCTCACCAAGACGAGCAAGGACTACAACTAGGACTACGCAGCGCCCGCTACTTTACACATGCGCTTTATTCACCGCCGTAAGCCTGACCGCCAATTCACACATGGCAGTGAGAGAACCACGGCAAATACAAGTGCTACTGATATCTACTCACCTCCTATTTCAACTTGAATAAACAGCTCGTCGCTGCACGTCTGTGACGGCCATGACGCCCATCCAACGTGCAAACGAGGTGAAGACAGCGCGCCGTCATACACGTAACACGTTGTGGAATGTGGAAGCGAGCATAAATGGTACTCTTTCACTACGTTGTCAGATGCTAAGCATTTTCGATAACTAGCAACACCGAATGAAAAAGACAACATCACAGCCCAACTAAATTAATATTCTTTAAAATGATTTCTGATTGGTTTAGTTTTTTTTTCATGAAAAGCACAGAGTAGCTTAAACAGAAAAATTCTACGCCAAAAATTCTTCCTATCTCAGCATTCACTGAGCATTAATTATTCCATTCATATCAATAAATTTTTGTTTAAATTTGATTGAAAGCTTCATATATAGGCTGCGAAATTCTCATTTTTAGACTAGAGTTTCTATTATTACACTACTACAACCACCCCCACCCCCCTGCTCCTCGCGCTGGGCGCCTAGCTGATGCATAGTTGTAAAGCAGCTGACTGCATCGTCCCGCAAAGCAAAGCTGTCAGTTACAGCAAAAAAGGAGTTGCCTCACATGAGCACGAACGTAAAAGCCCCATGTGAGAATTTACATTGCCAGATGACAATAGTTACTCAAAAATAGAACTTACCTAAGCGGCATCTAAGCTAGCAGACGATCCTTTTTCCGGCTCCACACATTCCGCAGAGGAATTTTGATGAGTAGCTACGTGCCGACGATTGTGACTTGCCAACACGGCCAGTACCTCCACGGGCGCATCATTTCAATAGGTGCACGGTACTGACTCAACAAGAAATAACACCTGCGCATGTACGTACAAACACACATACGCGCACACACGTACCATGCCATATCAGTAAAATTGCAGTATTTCCTTGTACAATAGTACATGTGCTGTTATTGCACGCCATTCCTCACTTTTTAACTCCGTATGTCGGAAGTTCAAGTACCTGATGTGATAAACTTTTTTTCAAGTTTTTTTTATGTCAAATTGAGGGAGCGTTAACCTGACTGCTTTGAAAAATTCGTCCTTTTTTTTTTTAGAAGAAAATCAGGTGGAAGGCTGAAGTTTTATTTAAAAAGGCCGACACGTATGTCATTATTGCTTTTTCTGCCGCTGCGTCATTTGAATGGGGCACCTGCATTATCTTGCCAGCTTAATGTATTCCTAAGAGAAATAGTCTTGAGTCCAGAAAAAAAGGAATAATGGAAATGTTTAGTGCACTGATAACAAATTTAACTAGCTTTGGTTTTGTTTGAAACCGAAACTAAATATACAAAAAATCTGACAACATAATGAAATATTGATAGTGTTTTTACGCTTGTTACTGCTATATTCACGGTTTAAAGTGCTGGTTCTTTAAATTGAATCAGCAAAGTTGATAAAAATATTTTATTGCTAATATACCCTTTCTTAGCAGTGAAACATTCCCTTTTACGGCTCTGTTAGCAACACTGACGTGTTTCCTTTTTCATGGCTTCTCGAAAAATGTTGTGTGCGTTAACGAACGCTCGCATATCAACTGTTGCTGAGACGCAGTTCTTTTACATAATATACCAGTTTGACAAGATTAATAAGGTTGTAAGTGTGAAGAGCGTGTGGTTGTAGCAGCCACCTTAGTGCGGCGATGATTAAGCCACATGAACGTTGACGACTTCAACCCTGGGGACTCCAACAGTGCTTACAGGGAGCACCGATGAGAAGACCAAAGGCTGCCACTGCGACACCGTACTTCAGCATACAGCAGGTGAAGTAATATTCGTAATTCCAGATTACCTGATCCGAGTTTTGTGTGCGTATGTTTAATGTCTTTTTCTCGCTAGCCTCGTCTAAGAAGAAAATCTCCCCCGTACTTGCGATGTGCTCAACCACGCCGTGGTAAACCAACTAGAACATGTTCAAGAGCTCTTGCTGACCACTCACTACAAGTTACTCGCGCATAGAATACCGTGCGCAAAACTTGCAGGTGTAGCTTTGCGATCGTCATGTAAAAGAAGCCCACGAGAGGTTGGCTCAGAACGCACTCGCATGACAAACGCGGAGATTTGCGTGTGCTGTTTTAAAACTGCTTACACAACAGTATGTGCTCACGCCGAGCTGCCGTCGACGCGAGAGAGGCATGTCAGTGGATGCTCTGCTTTGTGCAGTGTGCAAATCAATGGAAACATGATTAGCGAAGATTTTCTCAATCGGATTGGTCGTACGATAGTATTCAGGTGACTTGTCAAATACCGCAATTGTTAGTCACGTGTTTTGTCCCGAATGGAGTGAACGCGGCAGGTGCAAGCGACTGATTAATATTATTGAAGTATTTTTAAGAACTGCAGCCCATGTCAGGGCTAACAGGAGTTGGGTACACAAATACAATTATAAAAACTAGCGATAACATCACATGTTCTTCAACCGAAGAAATATTGCGACATTCTAAGCATAACTGAGTACAAAATGAAAAATAAACCATATAGGTTCCTCTAGTAAACAATAACGTTTGTAAAAAAAATTTAACAAACTAGCACATGCAAAAATGGCCTTAGGATAGTGCCTACGTCTCATTGGATGTGCATTAGCATACGCGATGTGATCATCATTAGATAACCGACATATGTTCTTCAATGCGCAGCACCACAGTGCTCGTGCTTCAGAAAAAGTTTGAAACAAGCATGCGACCTGTGAAGCCCGAAGCTTACCAGCTTTTAGGTTCCTTTAGTGCCACTCATACATTATTTTGCTCCGTGTGAATATAAACATTTCTTCAGGTGTTTGTTTATTAGTCGTTATTGTCTGCTAGTGAAGTGTTCTCAGCTCAAATGTGCAAGCTCCCCTGTGTGTCGACACCACCCTTGTTTATGTGCTCCTTGTGTCGCTGATCATGGAGGCCTCATCTTTAGATGCTATCATCATTGCCTCATTTTACCGAACAATACGATTAGCGCATGTCAGTCAAGAAAAAAAGATATCAGGACAATCACCGTCACTGCCATGCCACTTTGAGGCAATGAAATATGCCATGCTTAATGAGACCGTAAAGTACTCCCATTTGACTATGCATAATATTTCAGATTTTTGTAACGGTAGCTACATTGACCACTTTATCGCCGTTTTCCTTCATTTAGTGATTGCACCACTCACCGCATTATGTGGTAGGCGACAGAGAGGAAGCGAACCCTATCGCAACTGCATTTACAATTGAAAGTCAACATTGTGTGTGCATGTTCAACTCTATTTTGCTGTTAAGACTTAACAGAGGAGGGGCTGACATACCATTGTAAATATAGAAGTGGCGGCTTGTTTGGAATTGTTGGCAGATATAAAAAGTGAGTTGGAGCCATGGGCTTAAAGGAGCCCCAGACTTTAGAACGAAACCAAAAAGAGGCAGGCTAAGGACATAGAGGAAGAATGAGCCACATGCCTCGAAAAGCATAGTCGTGAAGAGAACCAATCTGAAAACGACAGATTTAGTGGGCATACGCAGCAGCTCTGTGGATGAAGCCTGCCAGCCATTTCATATGGCAGGCTGTGTTCACAAAGCTACTGGAGATGCTAGCTAATTTTCTCCTGTAAGAATAACTGTACCTCTCACTACACACACTCAGGCATAACTGAATTCAGTCGCAGTCATTTTTAAGTGGCCTTCCATGCCAGCCAATTTAACCAGACCATCACGAATATAGCTGAAAAAATTTCCACATCTTTCTTAAAGGTCGAAACCTGTCCTGCTTGCCTACAGGGCTGTGTTATCGCTCATTGACACTGGCTCACCTGGGACAGTTATTGCTATAAGTGAGGCCTTTATTTGCCAAGCCTTGGTCATAAAGGCACTATATTAATTAGGTGGGTGTGACCCTACAGGTGCTCTAGAGGTTGTTGCTACTTATCTCATCTAGATGAATTCACCAGCAAGCGTTGCACTTTTTTTTGAAGTGCATGAATTGAAACTAAATTTTGTGTGGTTCAGCACAGCGTCTTTTTTGTTTGGCCTGTTTTACAGCTCTAAAGTTTATTTCTTACTTTCCTCTTAAGGATAAATCAGTGCAATTGTACTGCATGCATTTCCGTTCATAGTGTAATTCAGAGCTTATGAAACTCAGAACATCGTTTCAGTCATTGGGGTGAAGTATTCAATGCTGGTTTGCTGAATTATTATGAAACAATTTTTCGTTTGTGTCTGCGCGGTTCAACTAGCTAATGGTGTGATGCCCTCAAGGGCCGCCTCGAGTCGGCTGATGAGAGTTCCAAAGACTTCCATTTTGTCAAGTGGTCTATCATCACAATGAGGTGGACAGAGGCCCGTACGGCACGCATAGAAGCTTCCCAGAAACTGTTGGAATTGGATTCCGGCAGAAGGCGGCCAGAAGCCTGCACAACAAGCATTGCCTCCACAAGGAGAAGCATAGAGAGGTTAGTAAGGAAGCTTGCTGATTTCAGTGGAGCGTATGTTTTGTCATGCATGCATTTTATAAGCTGTTTCCAGTTTGGCGACTACAGTGCACAGCTGCAAGTTATATTTTCAGGCACAGAATTTCCAGCTATCGGCACACTTAACTTGAATGCTTCGACGCAGCTCATTACCTCACTTTGACTGTTGCCAGTGCTGCCAAGTATTGGGCTCTGAATGTTCGCCTCACCTTATAGTATATATGAAGCGAGAGTTGTTTTGAATAGTAAATTTTTGTTTCATGTCTGCCTGACCGGTGGGTTTGATGCACTCACTTGGCAAGTTCATTTTTGCCATGTTTCGCTCATGTTCCACACACACCCATAAAACTTGTTGTCACATTCTTATCTCAGCAATGAACCATTGTGTGTGACAGCTAACACACGATTTATTTTCGAAATTGCAGTTGCTGCTTGAACAAAGTGAATATATTCGTATAGAAGATCAACTGCTTGCTCACCACATTTCAGATTTATTTATAGCTAGAATATTAACAAGCGCTATGAGATTGAGTTTCCTCAATTTTCTCAATACTTTACTTTTTTTAGCAGCAGCTTCTATTTCAACCTAGATATGAGCGTGAGTTGTCCCACACAATAGGTCTTTGCTGAGATAAGCGTTGGCAACGAATTTAATGGGCTTGCGTAAAAGTATCCACAAGCGAAATGTGGAAAAAACGAACATATCAAGTGTTTTTTCGACCTACCAGTTAGGCAGAAGTGAACTGGAAATTTACGGGAGAAATCGACCCGCATTTCTGCTACTATTTGTTACAGTAAATAGACCGTGTCGAACACTTGGCAGTGTCAGCATCAGTCGAAGCAGGTCGCATTTAGTGGAGTAAAGCTGATGCTGTACAGCCATCAGTATCTTTACCTTGAATGCTCCTACGCACGGCCTCAGCTTGTTTGATGGATGGATGGATGGATGGATGTGGCTGTACCGTTTAGATCAGGCGGCGGCTAACGCCACCTAGCCGTAATACTTGGTGAACTAATCATTAGCTTTATTTTTTTCCTTTAACTAGTGAGGTTGTGGATTCGTATTTTGCAGTGAAGTGTTTAATTTTCACTTGTGCCTTGACTTTGGCCACCAATCAGATAACGTCCTTCTAGTTAAGTCTATTCACTTAAAGTCTTTTTTGCTCTCCGTGTCCCTAAACCCCTGTGCTTCAAAAAACTCTGCGTCATCATCCTGAACTATAGGGTGAAGCACTTTACAGAACATTATCAAGTGTTCGGCAGTTTCTTCTTCCTCTCCACACACACTGCATACTGTGTCTACCCTTTCGTATTTGGCCCGATATGTCTTGGTTCGCAACACTCCCGTCCTGGCCTCAAACAGTAGAGAACTACCCCGAGTTTTATCATAGATCCTTTCCTTGGCAATTTCCTGCTTAAAAGTTCTATAGACCTCGAGTACGGACCTAATTATGCCGATTCTCCACATGTCAATCTCCGTTTCTTTCACTTTCTTCTTAACCGATAGGTCTTTTAGGTTTGGCCACCTGCTGTTTTCTAAGTATTTACCAGTAAACTTCCTGGTTCCCTTCCGTCATTTTGTATCGACATTCTTCATGTACGAGTAGCTGAAAACTTTCCTAGCCCAAAGCTCCTCGCCCATTTCTCTCAATCGCTTCTCAAATTTTATCTTGCTGCTAGCTTCCCTGCCCTCAAATGATGTCCAACCCATATCATCTTGTACTTCCTGATTTGGTATATTCCCGTGAGCTCCTAAAGCAAGCCTACCTAATCTCATGCACAAGACCGTATTGCCGAACGTCTGACCTGGATCCATGACCACTCTCCATATCCCTCTCACAACAACATACCTATTGTATTTCCACAGTGCCCTATTTTTTATTACTGCTGCATTCCTGTTACCTTTAGGCGTCACGTATAGTTCGTGTTCTCTTAGGTACTCGGTCCCATTGCTTATTCATACGCCCAGATATTTGTATTTATCTGTTATCTCTAGCGTGACCTCCTGTGTTTTAAGCTCACTACCTTTTTTATCATTGAAAATCATGACTGCTGATTTTTCCTTACTTAATCTAAAATCTAACCTATCTCCCTCATTACCTAAGATGTCCATCAATCTCTGCAGATGTTCCTTGTTGTCGGCCATTAGCACTATATCTTCTCCGTACATCAATGCTGGTAGTGCCTGATGAATGAGTTTTCCTTGTTTGACTAAAAAGAGGTTGAAGCCCAGTCCACTTCCCTCTAATTTGGCCTCTAATCCTTGTTGGTACATCATGAATAATAACAGTGACTGGGGACACCCCTGCCTAAGCCCCGGTATTACCTCTGTAGGCTTGAATACCTGTTTTCCCCATTTTATAACTACCTTGTTACCTTTCGAGATATCCTTTAGAAGATAAGTGACTACATGTTTCACGCCTAGTGTGTCCAGTATTCCCCACAATTCCTCTTGAACCACGCTATCGTACGCTTCCTTGATATCCGAAAATACTAGCCACAGGGGCCTGTGTTCCTTTTCTGCTATTTCGATGCACTGCGTCAGTGAGAAGAGGTGGTCCTACAACCTCCTGTGTTTCCGAAACCCATTCTGCAGTTCCCACAGCAGCCCCTGATCCTCTATCCATGCCTACAGTCTTTCTTTTATAATCTGCATCGCCAGCCTGTAGACCACTGATGTCACTGATGTTATAGGACAGTAGTTGTTTATATCATCTTTGTCCCCCTTTCCTTTATAGATCATTCTCATCCTGCTAAGTTTCTATTCCATCGGGAACTTCACCATCCATTATTAGTTTGCTCACTGCCTCTATCAAAGCCTGCTTACACTTCGAACCTAATGTCCTTATCAGCATAATTGCAATACCATCTGGGCCTGTTGATGTACTTCTAGGAACCTTTTTCTCAGTCCTTTCCCACTCTCGTTGTGAAAATTGAGCCATTGCACCACTTGATTCATCCTTGCCTATTGTGGTGCTTAAAGCACTTATTTGTTGAAATTTTTCTGTCCCCCTTGTTCTTATATATTCAGTAGCTTTGTCCCCTTCTAGCCTAGCACCTTGGGCTGTAGTTATAAACCTCTGCTCTAGGCTCGTCTCATTTTTAAGGAGTTTAGATGGTTGCACCATTTCGCAGCTGCCTTTCTATCTTTTTACGTACTTCTGCCAGCCACTGAGCTCGCTTTCTTCTAATCGTTTCATTGATCAGAAGGAATGCATTCCTTCTACAGCTCAGAAAGGTTTCCCATTTTCTTTCAACATCATCTGTTGGCTCACCCTGCTGCGTAGCATGTCTGTGTTCCCTAGAGGCTTCCTGACGTTTTGCTATGGCTCTCTTAACTTCCTCATCCCACCAACTTTTGGGTTTGTGTCTTCTTTACCGGGGTGACTTGTCACGCGTCTTAGCAAGCTGTAGCTCAAACAGTCTTATTAGATTCGTGTATTTCCACACTGTTTCATTATCCTCCGTGATTACTTTCTCAATTTGCCTTTCTGGATAAAAATTTTTCTGTTGTTGCTCCCCTTGTCTCCTACCCAATTTCACTGCTCTTCCAAAACTTAGCTTGATACGTTTGTGATCACTACCCAGACTTCTGGAGCCAGCTTCAACTTTGTGCATTCCCCTGAGCTTATTATACATCCTATGTGACATCAGTGCATAATCTATTGTCGACGGCAGCCTTCCTACCTCCCATGTTATTTGCCCTTCACACTTCTCGGTACTGTAGCAAATGATCAAATCAAGCCTTCCACAGATATCCATGATCATTCAGCCTGTCGGGTCGGTATAACCATTTAAATCTTCTATGTGCGCATTCAGGTCTCCTAGTATAATTATCTCGCACTCTCTTCATAACTCCTGAATGTCCTTTAATATACACTCTACCATTGCCTGGTTTTCCTCTCTGGTCTTTGCTCCCGTCCACAAGTACACGAAACCAAGGAGGGTCATTTGACCTGCCACTTTCCCTTTTAGCCATAAATGTTCCTTACACTCCTGCTTAACCCTTTGCCAGTGTGTACTTTTATGAATGAATGCCCCGATACCGCCCCCTTGGTGCTGCCTTCTGTTCTATTGCAATATTCTCACGCGTAGTCCGGATTGTTCGGAGGTTGTTCCATGTCCCTGAGATGTGTTTGTACAAGACCGTATACGATCAGCCTCTCTTCCCTTAGCTGTTCTTCTATCTCTTCCCACTTCAGCCCTTTCCTACTACCCTGCACGTTAATATATCCTATGTCTTAATTGGCTCGGGGCTCGCGGCTACGTCTATTTTCGCCCCTGACTCTACCTAACTTAAATACTGGTGCCACTTTGGAATCGTATCTGTCCATAGCACCTGTCAAAGAGTCTTCCTGGTTATTTTCCTCGTTACTAGCTATCCTGCATATCTAAGGGCCCGCTTGCTCCCAAAAAAGCTACTGCACGTCCTGCAAGTCACCAACCCACCTCATGACCTAGCCGCCCATTGAAGTGAATTCTGTCTCGTTGAAAACCACCCCACCTATGCACCTCTCTGTTTATTTCCACCACCTCGAAGCCTTTCTTTCAACTCATCCGCCATATCTCTTGGTTTGCGTTGACAACCGCTCTTTGCAGGTTGCTATCACGCACCGATACCTCCGGTATCGTGCATATCATTACCTGTACCTGAGGGGAAGTGGCGCGCATGTCATCGACGCCTTTCGTCAATGTAGTTGCTAGTCCTGCAGTATCTTCATTTAAGACATCGTTTGAACCACCTAAAATTATCACGAGGTTTTGTCTATCAGCTGCAGTTTTGAGTTTTGCGCTAGGTTGTCTCATGACTGCTTTCAGCTTGCTTCCTGGGAACGCCCCTACTGCAACACTCTAGTCCCCTCTTACCCTCTCTTTGATGGCTTCTGTGCATCGATTTAAATTCGAGTCCCCGGCAATTATCAGATGCCGTGACTTTTCAGCTGGAGCGTCTTGCACCTGGGGGCTTCTTGCACCTGTGATGGCAGCTGCTTTGTCCCCTCCTAGCCCACCCACTACCTCGCTGAAGCTGAGGCTTGCGACAATTGTACCGGCTGAACCTGTTTTTTCCAAACTTGCTTGCTCTTCTTTCTCCGCCTTTCTGGTTGCCGGTTCCCTACTGTTCTCTCCGTAGGCTGCTTCTTGGTTCAGCTTCACTAGTGCTTCCTCGGCGGACTTTAGTCTTTCTCCCATTGCCCTCATTTTCTCTTGCTCGGTCGCCAACGCTGTCTCGAGCTCGGCGATTCTCATCAGCAGTTCACTCTGGGAAACCATCATTTTCTTCATTTTTTCCTCGACCTCACATTGCCTACACTTCGCGTTAGCCTCTTTTCCATCCGCTTCTACACTTGGGTCCACTTTTAAACCTACTCTACATACTGAACACTTTACAGTCTTTTTGGCCATGTCTTTCTGACACCAATTTTCCCTATACTCGATAATTACTAAACTCAAGCCCTGCCCTACGAAAAAAAGGAAAGTCTAAACTCTACCTCAAAAATTTGTGTGTTCAATGTACGCGCACCTCCCCCACGGGGTGGCAAAAAAAAGCAAAAAAATTTCAAACACACACACCCGCACTAACTAATAAATACGTGGTGACTGGCCCCCGAAAAAGCCGTACCATAAAATAAGTGCTACGAAGATTTCAACCGCTGCCTTATAATTATGCTTGGACTGTGGTCAGCGCCACCAAGCGTTGAAAATGATATGCTTGCTACAGTTAGGGGTAAATGTAGCACGCCTTGGTTTCACTAGCAAATTTCTAGTTCCAGACTGCCTGACCGGCGGGCCGAATGCATTCACATCGCATCCCGTCTTCGCCACGTTTTGCTCGTGGCTACGTTATCGCGTGCACTCATGGAAACTCATGGCATTTTTTTTTCATTCCTTTCTTGACAAAGAATCATTACGTAGGACCGTTTACGCACCTTTCGTGTTTCAATAGGCAGCTGCTGGTAAAAAAGAATCACACATTTTAAAAGCAGAGTAAACGCACGCTCAAGGCGTTTGTAAAACTTGCACAATAAATCTGAAATTTAGTAGCATTGTTGATGTTCTGATTCAGTCCTTTTCAGACAGCGTGAATCGAACTGCTCTTGCAATTTATAGCGTGCCTTCTTGCTCAGTTTGCGCTGCACGGAAGATGTGGTATCGGAGCAAAACATTTGAGTGGGCAACACTACCTCAGCTTTAGCGTGCCTACTACGATTGGATTATAAGATGGCAGTTTCAGCTTTTATGTGGAAACTATGTACGAAAATCGCTTTGTTGACGTTGTATCCACGCGCTTTTCTAGCTGAAAACGCGCGAAAACATCGCACTCCATACGACATCTTCCGTGCAGCATGAACCGAACAGAAAGGCACACTCTAAATTGCGAGAACAGTTCTATTGGCGCTGTCTGAAAGTTATTGAATCACAACTTGAACAACGCCACCACATTTGAGATTTGTTTATTTTGCAACTTTTACAAACGCCATGAACGTGCGTTTGCTCTGATATTTATACATGTGATTCCTTGCTGCGAATTCAAACTCGCTTGGACTTGGGTAAGCTGCCGCACGCAATGGCTCATTGTCGAGATAAGCACAAAACAAGGAACGCCATGCGCGCGCGCGATAACGTAGCCACGAGCGAACGTGGCTAAAACGAGATGCGAAGTGAGTGCATTCAACCCTTCGGTCGGGCAAACTAGAAACAGAAATTGACTAGTGAAACCAACGTGTGCTAAATCTGTTGTTAACTACAGGAAGTATATAGTGTTGAACGCTTGGTGGCGCTGATCTCGTTCAAGCGAACCGAAACCACGCATCGGAGCGTTCAAGTTAAAGCGGCTGACGGCTGTACATGTCTGATGGGGGAAATGCTGAAAGGCATCGCTTCTTTGCTTTTGTGAATAATGGCATAAAGAAATAATTAGGTATTTTTAAAACTTAGGTGGCATCTATCTGTTGCATGTTCTTCATTGTCTGTAGTGGTCTGCAGAAGAAAAGCCTGAACTGTGATCCATGATTGTACTGATATTTCAGCCGTTGCTGTTTCATATTGTGTGAGCCTTCCCTTGTTCACGGTTTGTATGATCGATAGTCCTACTTTTAAGAAGGAGTTCTTCAGTTGTAAATATCCACCACCCCACGCCAAACTGAACAAGAAACAGCAGGTTGCCTGGAGACAACTACAGACACACACGTACCCGAATCCGGTGATCTTTCGCCTCTGCTACCCAGGCATTTATACGTCCGACGCATGTCAGGCGTGCGGAGCCAGTGTGCCGCTGCAGCACATGCTGTGGAAGTGTACCGGTAACGCGCAGGAGTCCCCTACCAACCCGGTAGACATGGCAGTCTCGAACCGCGAGGCGCGATGGGAGGCGGCTCTCCTCAGCCATGACCTTGCCGATCAACTGTGGGCCGTCCGGCAAGCCCAGGATGCCGCCCGGGTCCAAGGACTCGAGGCCGTCACCTAGGCCGGGGTGCTTGTAGCCCCACCCCGCTCAATGACGCTGAACATGTACAATAAAGTTTTTACTCACTCACTCAGTTGGTTAGACTGTTGCAGAAGCACATAAAACTCTTTCCAAATGTATATTTACTACTAGTGCTTCCTTAGTGAGCCGATAATCAGCTGCCGTAGTTCAGCAATAGGCGTTTCTTAGTGAACAGAAATAAATTTGTGGTCTTTATTTTTTAGAGCTGTGCGAATAGCAAAATTTTGTGTGCAAAATGAATTTTAATACTGAAGTGCAAGAGTGAACCAAATAATATTGAACATTTGTGGAATACGTTTAACACTTTGAGGTGAAGAAAAGTTGCTAAACATTTCTAAGCATATTATTATGGGATAAAAATATGGCATTGCTTTTGTGGCCAGGTGAGTGAAAATCTGGAGGGTAGGCGCTCTCTTGTTTTGTGAAAGACGAGGCATTGCAGACTGTATTGTATTTATTTGTCATATTTGGTGCAACCAATATGGTGACGACAGCAGTTTACACGTAAAAGGTTCCTCCCCCCTCCCTCCATCAACTTTTGTGGAGGCCCTTCTCTGCTAGACAAGGGCGTGCTCCTTTCGAATTTGGAGTTGCTGAACTGCCGTGCAGATGTCTGTGTATAAAAAGACCTGAAATTTCAGATAGTGAGAAGGTTTGTAAAATTTTTTTGGACCTTATGGTCTGATACAATAAAGCTTCCACCCCTACCATACAGGTTTGAACCAGCGCTTTCGTGGGTCAATCCGATTATGCCCGTAGCGTAGCCCATGAAGTGATGAAGCATATTATTAAAAATGAAGGGGTGGCTGTAACGGCACAGTGCATCTCCGTGTTGGAACCAGCCTTTTCTCGAATAAATGCACTTGCTACCTTTGCTAGGAAAGCAGCTTTGGCGCAAAGTGAGGTTGTAGGGAGGTAAAGCAATTAAAGAAAAGAACTGAAGGGGCCACATTCAAGTGAGGATTGACTGTTGTCTTTGAAAGTTCTGATAGTAAAGCTTTCAGTGGAAAATATTCGACTAGCAAGTTCTATACGAAAAATGTTCAAAGTTTGCATACTCGCACACTGTTAAGTTCTTTTTCAGAAAGCAAGAGCAAAAATCTGCAAAAAACATATTTAACTTCATTTATCAAATTGGGCAATGTTGTAATGAATTGTTCGTCTTTTCCATAGCCTGCAGTGCTGCCTGAAGCCTTGTGGAAAAAGAAGCAACGCCGGCTAACGAAAAAGATCAAGCTGAGACGGAAAAATAAAAACGTAAACAGAGAAGTCTTTTTCAGTCCTACACTACTGTTCAAGACTGCTATTTTTGCCCATGCGCACGTAAAAGTGCATGTTTACATCCCCAATGCATTTAATTACGTAAAGAAAAGAAATACACGAGAGCCCATCATGCAAAAACACACCAGCCCAGTTCTTACCAAACAACACCAGTCTGTCACACCAGAAAATGGCGTATACACCAGACCAACCGTATACGCCAGAACCGTGTCTGAATTCCCGCTCTGGTGTGAACAGGAAAAAACACACCAGACACGGCCTGGTAAATTTTTCGACTGGGGATGGCCACACAGGGTTAACGCTTGCCGCCAGGAAACACAGAAGTCAATGAAAGAGAGTAGAGGACCGCGAAGATTTAAAGAAAAAGAAAAGAGGAAGATGTGAGGGGGAGACAGAAAAAGGCGACTGCTGATTACCCCCAGGCAGGTCAATCCGGGGGTGCGGTCTACATGAAGCCGGGGATAAAGGAGTGTGTTGCCGCCGCTGGAGAGCCTTAAAGGTCCAATCACCTAAGCATTGGTTCAGCCCCCAGGATTCCCTTTTCGCCACACATGGCAAAGCCACGCACGGCTAGGCTTGTGAGGGGGTCAAACCCCTCCCCCTCGTTGACTCTGGTCCGTGGTGTCCCTACACACCAATCGTTGGCTTGCGCAGGCGACCCCGCGGGGCCTGTACGGCAGTGAAGAATCACTCGAACTGAACTGCGATGCGATGCTGAACTGCTACAGCGGGTTGACTTCACTGACATAAAGGACTACTTTGTTCACGCGACAAGTTACGTGTCATGCGAGCGACTAAAGGCTTACAAATTCATGCAGGGTAACAACGTTTTTGTGAGTGAATGGGTGGAGCAGTGGGGCATGAAAGTTCTCCCAAACAGCACGATAGAGGTAATCAGAAAGGCAAACAGACTTCCCTCGTCCACTTGTAATCACGTATATGGTGCGTGCGAGTGTTTTGTCGATACTGTAAACACGGTAATTAGATCTTATGGCAGGAAATAGATCACAGCAATTGCTGCAGTGGCTGCTTTTCTCTCAATGATCGCTGCGCACTGTGCCCATGCGTAACCGAGGGATCGCAGCTGTTTAGTGCAGGCGCGAAAGCTCTGCCGTGCAGCACGATCACTGCTGTCGGCAAGGTAAGTCGACTTTATATTTATTTCAAAACACCCCTATTTGTTGTGCTAGAACCGGTGAATCCGGTAAACGCGGTAACGGGTTGGCAGGGAGGAAGTCTCAGTGGTTAAGGCGGCAAAACCACTTTGTCCTTTGCCGTGCTGGTACCTCGAAGTTTTCCTGCCATTTACGTTGCTGCACGTTTGGTATTAGAAACTTACCGAGGCAATATTGCCATCACCAGATTTTTTTTTCGAGTGGTTGTTACATATCATATGGCACAGTTCGTCATTTTCGCAGCTGGCTTGCTTGCAACCAGGCGTCACGCACCGCCTTTCCTCACACGCAAAGGAACTTCTCCAACGAGTTATCGCGTAATAACTACGCACCGCGCAATGCATACAACACAGTAGTGTATATGAGCTTCGAATAATGGCTTGCACAGTGGAGACTTTCGATAATTCTCTTACGACGCATGGACGTTGAAGACGGAAAGCGCACACTGAGCGTATCCTGGTATTGCAATTACGAACTCACAAACGGCCAGACCGCCAAGATGACCTCGCTTCCCGGCAATTACATCGCCACGTCCGGGAACGAGGTTCCGTGCACACCTCCTATATACAAGGCTTGAAGTTTTGGGTGGCCGCAGGACGCAAGAATGTGTTCATTTGCAAGCCTCTTAAAAGTCGCTTAGCTGCTTTAGAGAGAACTTTCTGGGTTAGGATGGCGTGAATTTTGATACTAACCAAGTATTTCGCGATACAGCGGATGAGCCCAGGCACCTGGGGGAGACGACGGGTTGAATGATGGAATGGCCTGGGAGAGATAAATAAATGAGCCGCATCGCTACCGGGCTGATCCACGTGGCCAGGAGAACAGTCTACGCAGATGGAGTGAGGCATCATGAGACCATCTGGAGAAGGTCGTCGGCCAGAGGGGCTACGGTAGCATGCAGGTATCAAGGACAGTCAATGTGCGAGTCCATGGTGATCACTTCTTGAGGGGTGAAAGGCGGCCAAAGCGGGAACTACCTCTTCAGGCTGAGTTGCATAAGGCGAGCGAAAAAAGTGGCCATCATTGTGGTGACAATCAGGCATCACTGCGGCCATAAAGTGTCTCGAGGAATGTGGTCCAGAGACAGAACACGCAGGAGCCTTGAAGTATTTGAGTAGAGACGTTTTTTCTGGCAATACCAATCTTCACGGTAGTCTCCGGCTCCACGAATCATGAGATGGCAGCACAAAAAAATGAAAATGCGGAACGGCGTGACCGGAAGTGCACCACTGTGGGGCCAAGGCGCCGTTTCGTAGGGTAAAGGCCAATGAACAGGCTAAGTGGTACGCAAGGTTCGTAAGGTTACCATAAACGTCAGACTATTCCCAGGCGATGCTGCGAAAAACGTCGCCACCAGTGCCTTCATCGCCGCGCTGGCCAGAAATGGGTACTGCGAAGAATGTCGTCCGGCGGATCTGCATAGGCCCTCCTGTTTCGGTGGCCTCCAGGAGCGGTTTCTTGAAAATAGAGGACCTGATCAGCTTCTTAGGTTAATCCGACTTCGCTTCAGCAAAGTACAAAGCGCATAAAATTGAACTGCAGTTACACCACAAAAGATGTTTCACTTATTTGGGTGTGCTTGCAGCGAGCATTGCATAATATCGAGTTCGAGGCAAGCACTACGATGTGCGCTACTTAAGACCCACACGCGTTCAATTTGAGCATACACATAATGCCAACGCGATAAATTACATGCATGAGCAGTATTTTATCATCAGTGGTGCGAAGCTCGCTTCATCCAACACAAATGGCACTGACGATTTTTGTCAGCGCAGTTGCATTCGCTATCGATCTCTCGCTTCCTGTGCGTTCAACTGCTGCTAGACTGTTCTGTTGATGAATGTACTACGTTGTTATATACTGCAATTGTGGATACACGGTTGTCTACTTTCTCATTAAACAACGAAAGACGAAACCGAGGCGCCCGAGATAGCCCCGGCAATCGCAGAGACGAATGGCAAACCTGATTGTGGTCGCGATTACTTATCAATTTACCTGTGTGACGTACGTGTTCACATTTTCTAGTTAAAGCAGAAACTTGAAACCAACAAAGCCCTACGTGCGTAATGCTGTGTGTGACAATAACATCAGATTATCGGTGGTCGCGGCGTATGCTATTTCATTGCGTCCGTCACCTATCTACTGTTGCGCGACGCGCACCTCGGTCAGAGATAATTAATCGACGTAGCGCGTTTAGAATCATAGGACAAGAGAAGGGACAGAAGGGAGCGCTTACTTCCAACAAAATTTTTTTTCGAGGAGCGCGCATATATATGCTCACGAAATTCGAACACAACAGACAAACAGACGAAAAACCCTCTATTGCCATGCGCTAAAAACTTATGATCTCAAAAACGACAATTCTTTTTCCCAAAGACCGAGAGAAGGAGTGCTGACGCAGTTCAGCCCTAATCTACTAATCCTTTGTGCTTCAATAATCTCCCTTGTAACTTTATTTCTGTTTTTTCCTATGTTTACCGTACCATGAAAAAGTGGTTTGCAGCCACACGTGCTGCAATGTAGTGCCAAAAAACCATCTTGACCATTTCTTAAGTTGCAAGCATGTTCGCGGAGCCGGTCATTAAAGCACCTGCCAGTTGGTCCTATGTAGTGTTTACCGAATGAAAGAGGTATGTGATAGATTACAAATTGCGCGCATGTGACAAACATTGTTAAGGGCTTTTTAGAGCATCCCGGTTTTGCATGTGAAACAACTTTCATACACAAGTACGATAGCTTTTTCGGGGCAGAAAACACCACCTTTACATTGGCCCGCTCCCCAACCTTTTTCAAGTTTTGGGAGATTCCATGCAGACAAGGCACTACGGCAAGCTTCTGACGTCTTACTTGCTCAACATGAGGGAGAGCTTGCTGCAAGGGCTGAAGCTTCTTGACCAGAATACCCGCGACGGAAACCTGTACGTGAGAGGGGTAGCCAGCGTTCAGAAGTCGTTCTGCTTGTTCCTTGAAACTAGCTGCCATCAGATGTGGACAAGACCTCTGTAAGGCGTTACTAAAGCACATGTTTGCAATGCCTCGTTTTACGAGCTTAGTATGGGCGGAGTGGTACGGAAGCAAGGGTTTGTTACTCCTCGGCTTGTACATCCAACAATTGTGGTCTAGGTGAAAAATGAGAGCTATATCTAAAAATTTGAGCGTGCTATTAACATGCAACTCATGGGTTAAAACAAGGGGACTAAACCGCCCCTTAATGACGTTGAAGATATCTAGGGCACAAAAAGGGGGTCACAGTCAAGAAGAATGAGGCAGTCATCAACAAATCTAAAGATGCGCATGATTCGGTTGTCACTAAGGTCACCGGAAACGGTTCTGTCAAGCTTGGCTAAAATCAAATCACTTAAGATTGGAGCAATACACGATCCAATACAAATGCCCTCCCTTTGAAGGTGGGGCTTCCCATTCCATTGAATAATAGTAGATTGCAAATAAAAGGATAAAAGTTCTAAAAAGCTACCAGACGATATACCAGCACTATTCTGAAATGTTATGCTACCAAGCTTGTCAATGCACTCTTCTACATAACTAAGAATCAATTTGTGAGGCAACGAATAATACAGACCTTTTACATCAATGTAAAAACCACACATGTGCTGATTCGAACGGGGTCGGACGAAATCAAGAACTTGATGGGAATTTTTCACGAGAAATGGGTCATATACTGTTAATTGACCGAGCCTACTTTGTAAAAACAACGCAACATTTTTTGCCACGTGCCATTTTCTGAAACGGTACCACGAAATAGTTTTTCAGGCTTATGTGTTTTCGCACTAAAGAATACCTCAAGACAATCTTTTTTGCTATTTGCTTT